ACCATTTCATGAAGGCCGCTTCTGATATGACGCGGCATCGCGAGGTCTCGCTATTTTGATCGAAGCCGCTCGGATCGAGCTCACTACGCGATGAAGCTGGACTCCGTTGAAACAACTGCTGGCGGAGTCGTTAATTCGCCGACTCAGGTGTCCGGAGTGTGATATGGATTTACTTTCGGATGAAATGGTAGGGGCAAATCTGTACAAATCATGATTACTCGATTGAGTATAGTCTCGTTCCTCATGAATAATTAATCACTCAATGTCCCGAGTGAGTCTCGGCCATTGAGATTCCGTTTCTCTCTCGTTGGGGACTTCTTCCCTCGGGTCGTGGATTGTGGAGCTCGTCACCGGGTTGGAAGCCTCACGGCGAACCGGGATTGGAAGCTGGACCCGCGGAGGGATTCTGAGTCACGGGAAAATCTCTCTGCTGCTTCAGGTGACCGAAATCGAATCCGAATCCTAAACTTCTGACGGATTGAATTCTGGAATCTTTCAGGCTCATCCCGCTCCAATTCATTGCCGAGGAGGGGGATCGTCTCTCACCAGCAGAGGACAGGGATGACCCTTCAGCGCGTTCGGGACCAGAGATCTCTCCAGGGCGGCGAGCTCGCGCTAGACTCGCTCCTCGTTGCTCATTTTCCGGAACCGAGAACCGCAGCCTGAATTGTGGATCCATGAGCAGGGATCGTCGTCCGTATGAAACTCGGAGACTAGACCAGGGATAGAGTGCGCTAGGATGGGCCCGTGTCTCAGGGTCTAAGACTTATAGTCAGACTGAGGTGGTCGAGCTACGAAAGCTATAATGATGGAAGTCAGCAGACGGCTGCTCCGAGCTCGAGGCTAGTCTTTGCCAGCGAATATTTCCCTGTTCCGTTCAAAACGAATGGAAACCTCTTGTCGACATGGAAGGCCCGCACTATCGCAAGCGAAACTGAAGATTTCGCGCTCAGCGATCTCGCCGTACCCGAATAGCCGCAAGGGCTTGGGGGCTCGAAGGAAACGCCCGACAGATTCGGTTCTCGGGGAGGGAAAACAAGGCTCAGCAGTTTCTAGATTCTAATGAAGCCTTGTAGAAACAAGAAGCGGCTCCATTATCCTTTCACAGCCCCGCTCAGACGGTTCGTTGAACGCTCTTGCGTTAGGGCTTGGTTTACGTTTTTCGAGAAACCGTCGTGTGCTCACTCGAAAACTACGTTGAGCCTACGAGCCCAATTCGTCGCCGAATCGAAATCTCACCGCATATCAGCCAGCTACAGCGGAAAGGGCTTTGCGTAATATCGCAGGAGTTGGTTTCACTTCCGAGGAGAGGCGCCGGCTCAGGCAATACACCGTCATGAGAGCAAGTGCGTCGGCGTGAAACGAGGGGGAAACCTCTACTTTAATTCAAAAACCTATCAAAGAGTTGCTCAAGAACGCCCTGCGTCTGAGCGCTCTCCTGTCGATATCCCAGAGCTTGTCGGACCGGCGAGAGCAACTTTCCGAGATGAATCCGAGGGAAACTAAGAGGAAACCCACGGTGGCACCGGGAGGGAACCCGCGCAGTAAGCCGAGTGGAAATCCACAGCTTCGAGGGCCGCAGCTCCCTATCTCGAGGAGTCACTGTCAGCGGGACTCATGAATGAGATGGTCGTGAGACCACTCAGGCATGCAGGTATTCCGCCTGTTGTATGTCGATAGAGGAGTCGGCCTGTTTCTGAAACTCTATAGTGTGGGAAATACGGCCCAAATGTCAACCTTGAGGTAATTGGAGACCTAATGGCGAGCGTCTCGAGACCCAGGCGTCGAGAAGAAGCAGGAGCCTTGGGCTCATCTCTGCAGAACGCGAGAATTCAAGTGGAGACCGAGGCTATTTCACTGAAAAGGGAGTCGCAGAGCATTTTCCTGACCTGAATTCTAGAAGGTACCCGATGGGGAAGCGCTAGGTATGTACAAAGGTCCCCGGAGCTATGCGCGTCGTCGGAGATGAATCTACGGAGTTTCCCTCTTATTTCTCTACTCTGTTGTTTTGTGCCGTGAAGAGATCAGTGTGATCCCGCTCCTAGGAACACGCGCGGTTTCTCCGGGAGGCAAGCGGCCTAACAATGAGCTTCCTACGGACTTTCCGTCAGGCAGAACAATCGGGAACGTCTGCTGGGTGAGGATTCGACGCCCTGGCTTCTCTGAGAATGGGATAGGATTGACGGATCGCTCGTTCATACCGAGCGATCGATTCAGCGATCATGCGGCTTCTCGCATCATCCTCTGCGTTGTATTGAGCCATCTCCCGGTCTGATGGTTCACGATTCATATCTTGTGGGCTTGAACAGGTGATACCGATATCTCGAGGGAGTTGTTTCGCCGCGTCCTACATAATACGAGCGGACTCGGATCCATTCATCGCTTTCCCCCATCCCCTCCCTTATTACCTAGTTACCCTCGCCTAATCGCAACTTATACCAGGCAATGGAAGGCGGCTGCATCGCACATCGCTCCGATTACTCTCATTCAGAGCATTCTCCATGACCGGAGCCCCAAAAAGTTCGTCGAGGCATTTAAATCGATAGCGCTCCGATGTCCATAGCCGGAACTTTCCTCGGAATCGGACTGACACTGAGTGTGTGGATTACGGCTTCCCATACGATACGGAGGATGCTCCCCACGAAGACTCATTTTTCCTCTCTGAAGTTCTTCTTCGGCTGATTTCCCTCCGGCTGTCTATCCCAGCCCCGTGTCTTTTTCTTCTTTGTCGGCAGACGAGAGAACTCTCCAGGGATGCCCCGAGCAGAAAATGAGGAATCGACTCTAGGATCAAGGTCACTGAGCGTCCACGTTCACTTTCCACTGTGAAAAGTACGCTGGATCCGCCTTGCAGCTCGAAAAATAAGTGCTCCTCCGTCAGGGAAGGAAAAACAGCGGACAGATCCTTCGCAAGTAGGGTACCAACTCACTCGGGGTTCCCCGGAGATCCCTCGTTCCGAAGGAGCTCTCGTTTCTCAAACGAGGACGCGACGTGGCTTCGATACGAGAATCTAACGCAATGATTCTATTCTGGTCTGGATGACGGTCGGTATCGTGGACGTTGTTGGACCAGCTCCGTCCGGAGGAGAGCGTGTCGAATCGAACGAACGACCTCCAAAATCACGCCGCGGAGGCCGGGAGCCGCGTAAACGGAGAAATGATGAGAGCGCGAAAGAGAATGAAATACCGCGTTTCTTGAGCGGAGCTTTGCTGAACAGTGCGCCGAACGGCGTAGCTTCGATTTGTACAGTTCCGGTGGAAGAGTTATCTGACGCCACCTCACAACAGACTGACTGACTACTTGTTGGGACTCTGTCGGTTTTACAGCCCTCGTCAAAGCAGGGCGACGACAAGCTAGGACGCCCGCGTCCATCGTTTCGAGAGCTAATCCGTATTGTGTGGTTACTTCCGGGAGAGATATTACACGTCACTTCCGTCTGGACAACCATAAAACCAATGGGTCTACAAAGTATCAGATGCCCACTATCCGACCTCCCTTGCTCCGCCGCAGGTCAGTTCTCTTCCTCGAGACGATTTTTCATGAACGAAGTTCCCGCTGGTGTTTCGACAGGAGCGTCACGATGCCGTCATCGACACCCACGGCGGGGATTCGTCTATCCTAGTCTGCGCGGGGTGAAACGCTTGCCTGACCTCAAACCCGTCCACGGAGATAAGGAACGGGACGACTGATACAATCCTCGGATGCTTTGTGTTCTGAGCGATAGTGATCGACCGAAGCGCGTCGACCCAAGTTCCCCTGGCGACGGGGAGACCTAGTGCTAGCTGCGCGGATCCGAGAAGCTTCCATTGCATTTCATTTTAAATAATAGACGCTCAGTTCATCAACGTGCATGAGACTTTGAGTTTCTTTCTCCCAACTCGATCCTAGCTTAGAACGCAGAACGGGCGGACGAGAAAGACCTCGAGGGAGGATTCTCCATAGATTGCTGAAACTTTTCCAAGAAGAATTCTTTCGGAAGGCTGATCTCAGCTTTCGTCGAGCCAAGCGCGAGAGAGGTCGTCATTTCACGCTGTAGTAAGGCTCCCAATCCCACGACGCGGCGTCGAGACTGCCCCGGGGCGCTAAGTAGGACGTGGTTGCGCCGTTACTAGCATAGGCTGCCATGCTCCCATTGTTTCGTCGTCACCCGACGGTTTTGGCACCCTGACTCTAGAACGCGGGGAGATGGGGCGCTTGAACCCTCACAGACTAGGACCGATATCTTTCGTTCATCGTCGGCCCGCTCCGGAGCCGACGTGAGACTCGAGGGCCCAGAGTCTGAACCTTACGAAATCGGCAAAGCAACTTTCGCGATTTCGGAAGTCCCATCTGAGAGTTTTGTCCGAAACGGGAGTTTCGTTTTTCCTCTCAAATGTATAAGAGTATGGCCGGAGGACGGAGAACGACGCAATGGCGCTCACGATGATCGTCCAGTGAATACCGTCCTTGTGAAAAACAGCAGTCGCGTCGGAGACAAAGTTTCGTGGGAGCGAGAACGAACCTCCGCCCGCTTTCTCATTAGGGACCTCTGCAACTCGTCCTCACGCACATTCCCCGCTTGTTGTGAATGGAATGATGCTGGAACATCGCAACTCACTCACCCTCTCACCGAGCGAAACACGGGAACGGAGCAAACTGCACTCAACGTCATAATTGATACCAGGCTCCGTCATCGTTCGTTACCGTTACGCATATTTCGTGGATCATTCTGCTCGCAGGCAATTGTTCTCATTACCCGCAATCAATAAAGCTCGCAGGCGACGACCGCGGCTCATGGACGAAAGCATCGGGAGATATTGCCGTCGATCAATCTACACGAGCGCGGGCCGGAGTTTAGAGAAGTCGGTCCGATGTGAGTCGTTAGTCCCAGTCGAGCATTGCTGCTACCTCTTTTCCACCCTCCCCCTCCCGTAGGGCATATGTGTACATCTTTACATGAGTACCTAGGCACTATATAATATTGCATAGGAGACTCAAACACGACCAGTATTTCACTCACCGTCGTGATCGTAGTGAGACCAAACCTCCATGAATTGCGAAGCCGTGAGGTTTTTGAGCTCCCGGGTTTTCTTATCACGGAACTGTCGCATGAAGTTTGTCGTGGTCGCGAGCGCATTCTGCGCTCTCGCATTGGCTTCCGAGCTCTCAGACATCGCTGCTCTCACTTGTTGGCACTTGCTTCGGAGCTGAATCGTAGAATGGCTCCCGCCGACTGCAACCTGTTGTCCGCCGAAGTATAATGTATGCGCTGCGTCCAGTGACAGGAGCGTCTGAGCGGACGGAAAGAGCTCTTAAAAATCAATCGACATGAATCTTCCCAAGCCATTTCCTGTCCATCGTGGGCCCAGACCGAATCGGCTCCGCACACAATATCGAACACAGCGCTTCTGCGATGTCGAATAATTCGAGAATGAAAAATACGCTGTGACAGGCGACGCTCATCTCCGAGCTTCAAAAATTCTTCAACAACCTGTAACCGGACCTCAACGATCCCGAGGGACACTACTCGCGGAGAGCGCCGCATTCCGGCGGAACGAGTCGTAAACGATTCGGAACCCACATACAAACACGCTCGAAGACAGCGACAGACCGAGAAAAATTCATGAATCATGCGAGGTGGAAAACAATCAGGGCTCGAGCTCGATCTCAGTTTGTCGGTCGCCCGATCGGAGTTCGTACGGAACAGCTGATAGTGATTCGGATACACGTAGGAGACGCGTCGTCTGTCGCAGAGCGTGGACCTGAGCGGATGTTCAGGATGAATCTTGCTCCGAATTCGTGGCTAAGCGAGTTCGCACCTGTTGCTCTGAGTCGTAGAGTTGTCCAGTCGAGTCGGCCTAGCACTACAGCACAAGGAAGGGGATCCGTGACAGCGCGCGGGCCCGTGTCGCAAACATGGATTTCCACTCGTGAACTTCAGGCTACAGAGCTGCTCGGAGCTGTGACGCGAGCACGCGGATGTCGAAGACCTTCTGAGTGGGGGATTTCAGGAGAACACCGCAACTGGAGAGAGGTCCTCGCGAGAAATCCGCTAGACGGCGCTTCGGGGAGCTCGTTCTCTGCAATACTCTGGGAGAAGGTAGCTAGGTATATAGGTAGGTAGCCAGGAAGGTAGCCCGCGCGGTAGCTGGCTACTTGTTTGTATGCAGCTAGCCAGCCTGCCCTACCGCTCGCGAGCCGAACGGCCTAGGGCTCTACAGCACGTGGGGCTCTCGGAACATTCTGCGAGCTCGGGTGCGTTCGAGATGGCCCCGGAGTTGGAGCCGAGAATCAGGCATCCAGAGGTGACGGGAATGCTCCCACGAGGGTCAGTATGTCATAGACGCAGGCAACATAATGGTCTTGATGTCGACGGCCCACGCACATGGGCTCGCCTCGAGGTTGACCGAAACACCTCTCCTTGTCCTTATCGCGCTTGAGCAAGCGTCCCAACTCTGCTCGCCTAGTCGCGGGTTCCATTCCATCGTAACCATGTTGCGGAATGGAGAATAACGATGTCCTGCGGTCTGGTGACGGCCATTTGCGCGCAAGACCAATTTGAGCGCAGGTTCAATTTGAGCGCAAGTTCAATTTGAGCGCAGATCCGACTCGAGCGCTCCGCCAATTCAGCGGAGAATCTCCAGAAGTCTGAAAATCTCTAGATGCGCTTCCCCGATCCCTGCGGTCCACGTACCAATAACATGGTAAACCAAGTGAACCTCACTACCTAAAGCTAGTGTGAGAGCAAATGGCCAGAGCTCCGGATCGGGTGGTTTTTGAAGCACGAATACGGGATCAAGCGCCGAGGTCTGGCCCGCGAGAGATCGACCGAAAGGAAAGAGTGCAGATCCCGCAAAGAGTCCCCATTTGGCATGGTCTCACTCATTTCACACGGAGTTGCTTCGTGAGAAGGGAAGTTTCAAATGACGTTATCAGCACGACGAAGCTTCCCGGCACCCCAATCCATCATTATCGAAGTCCTGCTGAGAGATACATATCGAAGCAGCTAGAAGTTCCCGATCGATTCCGTCATAACCGATCCGTCATGATTTAAAAAATGCTCCCGGGGCTAACCTGAATGACCATTCGTTCAAGATTAGGTAGAAGTCGCAGTGAAGAGCGGGGTACCTGTGTTTCCTCGATGCACGAGAATCGAGGATGCGCCATAGAAAATCGAAAATTCGACGTGCTTGTCAAGCCGACATTCTTCTCGGCTTTTTGTCGTCGGTCGAGGAAAGGAAATACGTCCAGGCACATCGGGGATATTTAAGGACCTTGTAGAACGGAATCTATTATTTCGGAAGTCGACGACGGGACCTCCACGGTCTTTCCGGGTGCGGAACATCACAGGAAAGAGTGGATATTTCAAGAGTAACGAGCGCCGGATCGTCTAGAGGACCGGACGCTCGCTTCGAGATCTCGGCCTGTATTCTCCCGCCGGAGCTCTTCTATTTTACTCAACTTCCATCCCTGTCCCCGTCTACGTCGTCTCCCCATCGGGAACGTGCTCCGGGCAGTCTCGTGCAAGTCACACGTTTGGCGGTCGGATGCCCGTCCGTCCTCCCTCAAGCTGGCTTTTTATCTGGAAATGGAATTCATTCGAAGGAGAGGTTCTGGGAAGCGTTTCAGACGCCGGAGTGTCGGAACCGAGGTGCTTCGCGAAAACTCCCAACGAGGAGTCTAATTATGTATTCAGCAGCAGCGCACGCTGCCGTGTTATTCTAATTTTTTTCTCATCGGGGAACGCCGAGAGCCATTTCGAGGGGGGCTGATTCTCGAGCGTGAATTCCTTGAGCGAGAAAATCATCCCAAGGAGAAGCCATTCCTCATTATCGATCTGAACTCTTCCTCTCGGGACGCCCGGCTCGGCGCCTCCGGCAAGATATCCGCGCCGCCGAACAAGTTGTTGTCAGCGCTCTGCAGTTAGTCAGCATCGGAAGTTTGCAGGTAATTTCGAGATGGAATCCACTGCGCCGACGCTGGACTCGGCTTGCGTTGAGTTCAAAGTTTTGCGAAGAAGCATCCCGAGCCTCGGAACACCTTGAACCCCGATGCGAGTTCAACAGGCGCCGACATTCCCACCAACAAGGTTTTCTGACCATCACCAGAGAGCCAATATGGAGAAATTCTGCACGTAACGCGCAGAGATGAAGGTCTGCTCCGGCCGGTTCGGATTTCAGCTTGCCAGACATTTCCCGTCGTACATCCCGTCGACTCCTGACATCTCAGATCGAACGCTAAAACTGATCACCGGGCGCAGCGTCAGGAGCGATACTTTCGGCCCAGCTTGATGTCGTCCAAAGCGGGACCGCTACGCGAAAGTTCTTATTGGGTACCCAGGTGGGCTGCTCTGGAACTCTGAACTCATTGATTATTGTGAGTGTCCGGAGAGTCCCTCCTCAAAGAGCCAGTTGAGCTTCCCAGCAAGAATCCCAAGCGACCGAAGCAAAAGGAGACGCACAGAATGTGTACTTTCTCTTCAAAGTGGGAAAATCGATATCGGTCTCCCATGCTTAACTTTGGAGGATAAGCAAACCTTCAGCTTCATTATGCAATCTACTCCCGAATTCATTTTTTCCCACTGAATCCTGTGACTTCTAATAGCCCTGAGCAGCTTCTGGGACCAGACGGATATTGCTTTTCTCACGTGGAAGACCGCGAGAGAGAGAAACAATTTTCGGAAACACCTTTTCCTTCTCGCAGTCATCTCGAAACAGATTTTGCATTGGTGCCGGCAGCGACTTTCAAAGTTTCAACCAGAATTTCCAGACAATCGAATTCGAATAGCGGGCGCGAGATTTTCCATTAGGAGCTAGGCACCAATATGCAGACAGAAGCCTGCACCTGAGGATACTAAGAAGCAGATCGCTCGCAAGTATCCGAGAGTTGTACCCGAGCAGCAGTCGCGGCCATTCGATACGCTTACGCTTGAGGAATTTCTGGTTTACGCCAGTGTCGGCACTGCGGGAAGAGCTTAGAGAAGTACGCGTTCAAATGCTGATGGTGCACAGCATTCCGATATCTGCAGTCTCCGGTGAAGTCTATACGGCGAAAGATGCTTTCGGGAGTGGCTTTAGAGACGTCGAACTAGTATTCCCATGGCTGAAAAACTTCTCATGAACTCCAATCAATGACGTAACTCTCACGTGATTCGGAAGACATGCATCCGAGATCTCATAGTCGAATCCGTCCGACGATCTCGAGATATCTCCTCCGATGGACGAAGAATGCCGTTTCCCCCGGATCTTTTCCCTCAGCATCAGCGAGGATCGAAATTCTGAATGTTCTGTCACGGAATGACGCTCTCGCCGTGTAGTGCGGTTATCGGACTTATCGATGAGCTGTCGAGCAGGAACAACGCTAACTGATCTCTTTCCAGTAGTGAGCGAAGGACGCTCATTCGCTGTGTTTGGAAGGTAAGGGGAGCCCGCTCTTCCCCCGGATGATCGATGAGCGACGGGTATAGGGGGGAGGGGAGCTCGAGTCCGATACGGGAATGAGACAAATCTGCTATTCTCACATATCTTCCGCATTCTATTGCATATATTAAGATCGACAGTTTCGTGAGGAATACAGCGTTTCATTTTTCAACCAAGACTTGCACTTTCGACTCCCGTTGCGATTCGGCGACTTTCCCTCGGACAGGATCCTGAATTCCCTTTTGGAGACGGAGGCAAAATCGAAACTGTTATCAAGGGAAACCGGAGCCATCACTCTTCGGTGTATCTAACAATAATTCCCTCTTTCCGAGAATTAGGAAATGCTGATTCCGGGAGAACCGTTTTCCCCGGTAGCCCTTGCACCCAACCATCTCTCTCTGATCGAAATCATGATCGGTGAGAGCGTCTATGCTGCCTGCAGCGAGGGATGATCGATTAGTTCTTCGCTCCGTGCGCTCGTCGCACGATTACGAGCAGCGGGAAAAAAGCTGCAGCGCTCCACGTTGTCATCGTCATCATTCAAACTCGAACTGACACCTGATGGCTGTTGACTGTGGTCCTACCCGCGCCATCGGCGTCGCTTGCCTGCATGGGGCCCAAGAAACAACGTCCCTTAAGGCTCCCACATCAGCGATCCGATATGAGTTCCCTAAGCATTGGGTTCATTCCCAGAGAAGAAGGTATCCAGCGCCTCATACAGGATAAGGACAGGGAAGGAGGACGACAACCTGGTC